CTTGAAACAACAGGATTTACAAATTTTTCAGAGTCCGAAAAAAAAAAAGAATTGAAACGCCTCCGTTTTTTGACATCTAAGTGAAAATTTAATATGGTGTCTTTGAAGAAGAGGGCTTCTTACTGCTTAAACGCCTCATACTGCCGATAAATTCATTTGTTTTCAGGCTAACAAGGGCGCTCTCGATTCCTATTTGCAAAAGAACCAGGTTTCGGTGGAACAAAAAATGGATATGTGCTTGGGTGCATCCTGGGGACTTGAATATCTACACGCACAACCAGTCCTTCATCGTGATATTGCAGCACGGAACTGCCTTTTTGGTGACAATAAGGTACCATTCATTTCGGACCGGAAATGCAAAAACAAGCGACTCATAAATTGATAAATATTGCTTTTAACATGCTGCTGTCATGCTGAATATTGAGAACTCGATCCCGACAGTATGACAATCGATCACTCATGACTTGTTCATTTGCATCGAGGGTAAAATGATACAAATTTGTTGAATGAGTGTAGCAGCACTTTAGTACCAGCCTTAATTGGTTTACTTTGCTTTACTGTTGTTTAAAGCTATACTACCTTAGCAAAAAGCGCGTATAAATAACGGCGCGCACCAAATCGTTTCTGCAAAAAATTTCTCGCACATACATACGGCTGAATGCGCCAAAATGCGAAGAAGGTGGCTGTATACTATTTTGACATTTTTCGCAATCTAGCACGCTGAATTATTAAATTTCCAGTTCTTGACCTGCTTCGTTTTCATTTTATAAAAGCTTTTAGTAAGTGAGTTCGTAGGTAGGGGTGTGGTGGAACTGAGTGGAGATATTTATTTGGAAATCATGGCTCAAAACATGAGGAAATTTTGGGAAATTATGGGAACTTAAATTGTCGAAGTTAAATTTTAGATCAAAATAAGTGATTTCGGATTAACACGTGAAGGGACAGTATACCAGATGGACCCAAGAAAACGTGTTCCAATTAGATGGCTTGCACCGGAGACATTACGCACCGCTATGTACACGCAGAAGACTGATGTGTTTAGCTACGGCATCATGTGTTGGGAGATTTTTTCGAACGGCCAAGAGCCTTATCCTGGTTTCACGGTGGCCGAAGTTAATGTCCGTGTGAGTTGTTTAATTCGCGATGCACCGCTTTCTATCCAGTAGTGCTACTTACAGAGCCAACAGTGCGACATCCACAACCGCATCCCATGTTTTTGCGAGGGAAATTGCTTTTATGTTATGCGCCACACAGAGAGTAGTTCGTTCTGTTATACTTTTTTTACTTCTCCGTTTGTTTGCATCTATGTTATAAGTGATAATCGTCACTTTATGCTGATGGTTTGAAGGAAAAGAGCTTCCGTTAAACCATACAATTGCTCTTATTATGCGTTTTTTGTATAAACGTACAAAAACGCATTTTGATGAGACCATGGCTTTGTTTGCTTGTCCTCGTGTGTCCCATCTGTCGCAACGATTTAACCTTAGAAAAGCGGAAATTTGCTTTAGAAACATCGTTCTTAGTCATGTGTTGGAAAAGTAAAATTAATTTTCTTTCCTCCGAAAGATCTTACTGATGGAAGGTGAAGAATCTGCTTTCATTACCTGATTGCTTGCTAGAATAGTCATAGCATGTATCACGATTTATGCTCTTTACCTGTGGCTAGGCTGCACATAGTCATCTTTAGAACAAGCAAAAAAATTACAATGATGAAGTAAAAGAAGTTCACTTATTTCAAAACTGCCTGAGTCAGTAGCCACCTATCACAAAAACGCGAAACTACCCTCTGGTCAGCGCTCCTATTACTTATTTTTCAAGTACCTCCCTCTTATGCCTGAACCTATCATTTTAACTTGTCATTCATAGCCATATTTTGACTTGTCCACTTCTCTGACTGACCTATTTGTTAAATTTTTGCTCAGTTTCGGTATTTCCTTATTTGAAAAAATCTCAGTTTATCAGTTATCAATCTATTATTTGCCCATTCATTTTTTGTTTTACTTTTCATCCGTTTTCTTTTCCACATGCTCCTCTGTTATTTTACAGATGATATTAATTCATTATCCACTAGTCTGATTTGTCAGACAGTTGCGTTGTGGCCGAGAAAAAATAGCGGTCAATCACTTCGGGTTAAGTGTAAACATTGACGTTGCAGGTTAAAGAAGGTTATCGGATGCCGTTACCGGACTGTGTACCACAGCAAATGCGCCGCGTAATTGAAGTGAAATGCTGGTCAGACAATCCGAACGATCGATGGTCGATGGCTGAGATTGCCAAAAATCTTCAACGAATCCTCGGTGTGCCACGTCCTAATTTTGCGGCGGTTTGTTGTTTCACTTGTAAGCTAACGTAATCTTTGAATGCTGCTCACTTGATTGCTTTATGTCTTAACCATTGACTGGTAACATCCATCGGTTATTACATCGTTCAAAGGAAAACAATAATTCAAGAAATTAAAGTCTGAGAAAATAGAAAAGGGAACTACTGACTGTAATCTACGAGAGGAAGGCTGAGATGTGAGGAAGTCGGTATCAGAACTCAGCGCTGATCTTGATTCATAGTCTAGCCAATGTGAAGCAAGAGCAGTTCCTCTTGATTCGAAGACACTCGAATTCGTAATTTGTTGAGTGCACTCAGTTCGTTTTAAGTACCAAAGAGGTGTGTCTCGGGAAATCGCGGATAGCTCTCATAAAATATAAAGTTATCCTGGCTCTGACTGCTGCATCTTGTCTGCTGACTTTGTCTTCGAACTTATTAATCATCTTATGCAAAACTGATAGATGAGACACCCCACCGATTTACAATGTGTGGTGGTTGTCCTATAAGGTGAAAAAGCTATGCGGAGACAGCTCTCGCGGTGAAAATGAAACATACAAATTGTTGTGTTCTTACTAAATGCATGTTGGAAAAATTGAAAAATTCCAGCAGCAGCAGCAACAGGACGAACCGCCGCCGCCGCCGACATCGGTCTCTGAAACAGAGAAAAAGAAGAAGGGCGCCAGCAAAATGAAACCACGGAAGAGCAAACATAGAAGTGCCAAGCAGAAGGATTAAAATCAAAGGCACTACTTTATGTTGATGAATAGTGATAGCCCGTGCATTATTTTCCCCATTACATATGCGCTCCTGAATATAATTCTATTTGCGCCTGGTGCTCTTTGTATCATCAAGGCCCAGCTAACTGATATTTTTAATCGATTTTTGGGTGTATTGATAGTCACAAATGCATGAAATCGTTGCTGAATTTTTCTTTATACTGATTTATTCTTGGAAAACTAAAATAATGTTTTGCGAAGATTTAGTTGTGTAAAGTTGCTTTTTCAGTTTAAAAGACAATGTAATTCTGGAAATAAGGACAAATAAATGGCACACTGCGAATTGGACGGTCTCCTTCTCCAACAACAGGAGTTCTAGCTGTTCACCAACGGAATTACTAAAACTTAGTTTGACTCGACTCAGCCGGGTTGATAGGGAGGAGGCAAGTTGTGATGGTTGGGGGAATGCCGGAATTAGGTATAGGTAGGTGTGTGAATGGGGTGATGGTTTAGTTCTTAGGGGTTGTAACAAGTGAGAATGAATTGGGATATTGATTGGACAAAAGCTAAGACCTTGCTCGAAGGTACGAATTGGAAAAAAGGGAGGGAATTATGGGAGGAAAGGAGATTGTACGGATTTACAATGCTAAGCAAGAAACTGGATGCTGTGAGAAATTTGATAAACTTGTGCCTACACACACACACCTCATTAAAAGAAAAATCCGGTACTTATGTATAGCAGTGCTTTTCGCAGCTCATACCCAAACTCATCAAACGAGTGCATTCTGCGCGGCCAAACTGCTCCCAGACGTCTCCTTCGCCGGCCGTTTTCTTCTGTCTCCTCAGGGTTACAGATCCACACTAAATTATTTTGTCGAGAAGAAGAGAAAACGGAGCGTGGGATTTGCCTGGTAGGCAGTTTAAAATACAAGTTAGACAAATTACCTGGTTGGTATGCGTCTCAACCGTAGTGCACGATGCCAATGAATCGAATGGAATAACTTAAACCGTAAAACAGCGTTGATTATAATGACCGCGCAGAGATTATTCTGACCAGGAGCCCAGCTAGTGAATTCTTGAGGTCGTATTCGGAATAAAGAGAAGTGACGCCGAATCTGTGCTTCTGGACAATCTCGACTGATAAGGTTCTCGACTTCTTAAGCAAACACGGTCTTATTTTGCACACTGCTATTTCGAACCTCTGCTGTCATACGGGTCCTTTGCGTAGCGTCGTATCAGAAACCAGCACTGCTCAACTGGCTCCGATAAATTTATCTTAGGTTTAACATTTAGCTTCTGGACCAGATAGCACCAGCAGGTTTTTCATGCTCTCACGTGAAAATGTCATTCGTCTGGTCCTCGAACTTTGTTTTAAAGAATTTTACTATAACAAGGCTACTGACAATGTAAGCATAGATCGCTTTAAGACTGAAATTTTCCAAGATCCGAATATAAAAACCAAAAATTCTTGTTTAAAACTGAGGAATCGAAATTCAGGCATGAAAAACAAAATTTCAGTATAGAAATTAAAAGACTGTTGAAAAAAACTAACTTCTTTGGACGTAAACAAAGAAATTGGGACGCAGAACAACAAAACAATAGGTGTCAGCTTGGAGGTCTGATGTATAAAAGGTGGAAAAGCAGTCAAAAAATTTCAGCATTCGCATTTTCAGAGCTGAACTATTTGGTTCCACCCGAAATTGCACAGAGACACACAAAACTCACAAACACTTGGTGCTGTCCATTTGAGCTTTTGTTTCCTGACACAGCAAAAAAGCGGGACTTATTTTATAGAGGAGTTTTCATGATATTAGTTCATCTGATTTTCGCCTTCGCAATCCAGCTTGTGAGACGCTTCAGTTGCTTCTTAATCACCCGCTGTCGAGCTGCATTTTGCTTCACATCTTTTTCACCTTCATAAATCTGTGCTCGTTTCAAAAATACTTCTAAAGCTGGTATCTGATTCTCTTCAGATGATTTGTGTCGATTTGATTCGAATAGTGGTGGTAACTGCTGCGCCAGTGGAGGCGTACGTAGAGGGCACGAACAGTAACTACCATCGTTACCAGCTGGGCCACGCATTCCGGGCTAAAATGACAAACAATTCACATGAACAGCTGAAATAACACTGTTATCGAAGAATACTGCGCCTA